GTCACATTGCAATCTAAGAGAAGGTGAAAGACAGCTAATCTGTAGTGGGGAAGAGACATCATCACATTATCCTCAAGGGGACAGCACTTAGGGCCTAAGCACAGCCAGCCCCCACCCCACTTTAGGAGGGGCCTGGAAGGCCCAGCTCGCTTCACCCACCGGGCCTGGGTTCTGGAAGCAGGGGCAGCACAGAGGGTGTTGCTCTCAATGGGTCATTGTTCGTTTTGACCTCCTGTGCAGCTCCCTGAAGCACCAATGCAAAGGGGCCCTTATTTTGGCTAAGTGGGGCCCCTCTGTCCAAAGCAAGGAAGGGCCCTGGCCTCTGGGGGCCTGCGGGCTCACATACATGGCTGAGGACCTCTTTTTTGTGACTCCAACACTCATGGTGCATGGGGTCTGCAGGCCCTAAGAGCCCCCAGACTTGCCAGCCAGCAGCCCTCCGCCTGGGTCTAGCTCACTGCCTGGACTGCCCCATCCAGGCCCTTTCTCAGTGGGAAGCCCTCCTCCAGTCCTGGGATGGCTGTCCTGGGATCTCAGGCACCCCACTCACAGGCTTCCCCAGGCACCACCACATGCCTTTAAGCCTGATGTCAAATTCCCCGAAATCTTTGCTTAACAGTCCCCTGTCCCCACACCGGTTTGAGAGCAGGCAGGGCATCTGCTCGTTTGGGCCCAAGCTGATACCGATTTTGGGCCTGGCACACAGCAGGCACCAGGCCTTACAGGTCAGCTGTTGGGAGAACTGCTGGAGCTCTGAGTGCGTGCCGGCAGGTGTCTGTGTGTCGGGCAGAGGCACGGCCGGTCAGGGGTGTGTTAGGTCCCATCTGCATAGCTGAGCATGCTCAGAGCTGAGAAAAACACACGCTTATTAGCTCCAAGTTTCTGTGGGTCAGGATCCAGGCACTGGTTCCTGTCAGACTTCAGTCAAGCTGTAGAGCTCATCTGAGAGCCCAGGGTTGGATGAATCTGCTTCCAAACCCACCCATCTGCAGGGTTGGCCCGGGACTGAAGGAGTCAGCTTCTGGTTGGCAGTGGAGGGTGGCGGCTCTCCACCCCGCCCCCCCCATCTCAGAGGCAGCACGAAACAGGTCAGCCTCTTCAGAGCCAGCAGGGTGTCTCCCCTCAAGGTGGGCGCTGGGGTCCCCGCAACATGGCCTCAATATCCCATCACTGCCGCCACATTTATGGATGGAAGCAAGTCCCAGGTCCCACCTGCTCTCACGGGTGGGAACCCACAGGAGGGTGTGAGCTCCAAGGGGCAGGACCACAGGCCACCTCGGAGTCTGTTCCCCACAGAGGGGCCTGGTCACCCCCTCCCATGTTAATATCCTGCCCCAACCTTAGGAAGAGCTGCTGACAGGCACACAGCTGGCCAGGGGTTTGGGGGTCATATGCCTGGGGTATGGGTGCCCCCGGGCTGCCCAGACAGGGGTCGGGGAGCTAATGGGCATGGGGCCTCTGTCTGCCCTGGGGAGCACAGTTAGTTATGGGGTAGGGTGGAGGGCAGTCTGGAATCCAGGCCAACCTCTGACCTCTCTGCTCCGGAACCTCAGAGGGCGATGCCCTGGGTCAGCAAATTTGGTCTGGCCTCCCTGGGACCCAGGCCAGCTGGGGAAGGCCGGCCACCTTTCTCTGCCATGTCATTCTCTTTGAAGATCCAGCTTGGCTCCGCTCTCCAGAGACCCTTCGGGGGGCCGGGGGCTGTCAGTTTATCCTCTGCCTGGGATGGGGCAGGGAGGGTGGCAGACAGTCTCTCCCAACTTTAGAGTCAGGCAAAGTCGGGGTCTCAAACTCCCAGCAGAAAACACAGTGAAGCCAGTAAAACAGGAAGGTGTCCCGAGAGCTGCAGAGGGGCAGGCAGGCTGCAGAGGTGGTGCAGGGCTCCTTCGGGGCCAGTCGCAGGTGTTTGGCAGGAAAATAGGTGTGAGCAGGGTGGAAAGAGAGTAAAGCCCACTAGAAAATACTCAAAGTTAACCAGTTAAAACTAGAAAGCCAGAAAAGACTCAGAGTTAGAGTTAATCAGTTAAAGCTCAAAAGGTCAGGGGCAACTTGGCCTTGAATGTTTAAACATTCCCCAGAAAAGTGAGCACAGCGCATGTCTTCATTGTGCAAATTGGATCACGCCATTGTGAGATCTACTCTAGCCTGCTAAAAGGCCCACCTATAAACAGCTTAATAAGGACAGGGAGATTCCATCTTAAAGCTAAAATTGCATTTTAAAAAACCCAGGAAGCTAAGAAGTAAGATTCTTAACTTACTCATTAGCAAACAGACAATAACTCAGCCCACCTTGGGGGCCGGGCAGGAAGCCTTATTTGCTTATGCTCCCAGACCAGGAAGCTGCTATCCAGGGAGGGCCCAGAGAGGTAAATTTCTTAGTTGTTAATTTTAAATATTCAAAGACCACTTAACAAGTCCACACCCCCAGCCCTTTGTCACATTCCTGAAAAATCCTTAAAAGGGGGCACCCCCAACCTTTCAGGGCACGCCTCTCTCTGAGGTCACCCGCACTGTGAAGTGCGTAGACTTTCTCTCCAACCTTTCAGGGCCCCTCTCCTCCCTGAGGTCGCCTGCACATTTTCTTTCTTTAAGTAAGTAACTTTAAATAAAACTTCTACTTTGCTTCACTACTGTGTTTCTGCCCTTCAATTCTTTGTTGCTATGGGGACAAGAACCAAGGAAAATACACACTTCCCCCAACACAGGGACACCTGCCACCTACTGGCCCAGGCAGGAGAGGGAGTGATAGGAGCCCCAGGGGTACAGCTCAAGAGGTGACTGAAGGTGGAGGGACACAGGCTGTCCCATGGGACCCTGTGGATGGGCGCCAGCCCCAAAACACCCACTCCTCTCTTCTCCCCATCTCTGCCAGGTCCCCGCCAGTCACCCCCAGCTTCTGATCTCGCGTGGCTGTGGCGATGTGCAGGTTCAGTAGGGCAGCTCTGCCCATGGCTGCAGTCGGTGGTATCTGCTGTCACCGACATCCTGTTCCCCCAGCCCCTACAGTTGCCAGCACTTAACAGCCCAGAGACAGGTAGAGAGAGAGAGAGAGAGAGAGAGAGAGAGAGAGAGAGAGAGAGAGAGAGAGAGAGAGAGAGAGAGAAGACCAGTCCAGCCCCACACACGCGGCCCTGACATGGTGCCCTGTGACCCAGACCACCAGCTCTGTGAGGCCCCAGTAGTCTTGTTTTTCACACTGACCTATTGTAATAAGTTTTACAGCCACCACGCCCTAGGCTTAGAGACCCCTGGGTCAGATAATCAATGGACCAAGGCACAAACAATTGGTTATACGTGCATGACGTAAATTTGGTGTTTGGTGTCTGATAGGTGCCTTATAATAATCCTAAATCCGGACACCCGCCTACTGCCTCCCCAGCAGAGATTTCATAAGCTAATGCTGCAGATGACGCTGCCACACGCATGTGGGAGGTGATTAATAACTAGTGAGTGAACATTTCCGCTCCCCACAGCAGGAACCACCCGGATTCTCCCCGGGCTGGCTCCCTCCCAGGTGGCCCAACTTGGTCCGTCAGGGTGTCTGCTGCCTCACGTCTCTAATAAACTGTGCAGAGGCTGCGTACCCCTAAGCCTCCCTGCTAAGTCCCTTTAGTACTTGAAGACCAGGACAGAAGGCTCGGTCCCACAGCCCCTCCCCTCCTCATCTTCCCACTTGACCTCTTAACACAGAGAGCGCCTCAGGGGACTTGGGAAGAAACTGATAAGTTCACAGTTTGGGGCTTTGCCTGTTGTAGGGAGGCACCATCAGGCCCCTGGGCAGGACCCCCCTGCACGGGCCTCTGGGCCACGTGGCTGCGACCCCACCCACAGCAGGCCTGCTGGCTTGGGTCCCACAGGTCCCACTGCCCAGGGTCCCTGCAGGCCTGAGCCCAGCTAGAGCCGCCCTCCTTCCCGCTTATCAGGAGATGTCCTTCCTCCCTCCCTCCTGGGCCACAGCCAGCAGGCTGGCAGCCCCCCAAGTCACAGGAAGGCAGACGCTAAACTGGGAGGAGGCGCTGCGGGAGAAGTGTGGTGGGAGGGGGCAGGGATGGTGGCATCTCGCCACCTCCTGGAGGCCAGTATCCCCCGTGGGACGTCCCCTGGGCACTCGGCATGGAGATGAGGACACTGTGGAGTCGGGACAGAGCAGAGCGTGCAGGACGGGATGGCACTGTGCCGGGCATTCAGCGCAGCCAGGGCCGACGCCAGGGCGGGGCCAGCCCCGGGCACTGAGCCCTGGAAACGCTTTACTTTCCTTTTCCCCGTCGACCCTCCCCCTTCCTGTGCGCCCCACTCCTCCTGCCCTGACCTGCCCTCCCCCAGGCTGCAGGAAACGGATGCTCAGCGCCCTGGCTCCCCTCCCCCCAGCCCGGCCCGGCCCCCTGCTGTCCTGCTTCCCCCCCCCCAGGAGGTCAGGGCCGCTTCGGACCCCAGCCCTAAAGGGACTTTGCCCTCCAGCCCAGAGCAGAGGGAAGGCCGGAGCCAGGCTCATGGGCCCAGCAGGACAGGCGGCCTCCCCCCCTGGGGCCTGCTTCCTCTTCTGGAACCGGGCTCCAAGCCCCCGAGGAAGCTGTAGGCAGAGTAGTGGGGGAGCACTGAGACAGGGACCACGGATGTAGTCAGAGCAGGCTGAGGGCCTCCCGAGGGGACAGGGCAATCTGCAGTCAGAGCAATGTAACTACATGCAGGGAAACCCCCCTACTAAAAACTCTATGTTAAACATTGAGCTCTAGAATCATTCTTCAGTGAAATCAGTCAATGTTCCCCAGATAAAGAAGAGTAGCACACGTTTTATTATGCTAAACATTTGTAACCACGTAGAAGATTCACGTTAGCATGCTAAAGGCCCAGGCCTATGGGCTGTCTTTCCTCCTTCAGATCTGAGGAGGTGATTCTGCAAACTGAGCAACTAACTTAGCTGCAGACCCAGCTGTAGACGGCATGGTAAAGGACAGGAAGAATTCCATCTTAAAGATAAGATTGCATTTTAACACCCAGGAAGTTCAAGAGGCAAGATTCTTTAGCAAGTAGACAATACCTCAGCCCACCTTGGGGCTGGGCAGGCGGCCTTTTGATGTGCTCCCAGACCAAGGTGCCGGTGTCCCATTGAGAAATCAAGGCAGCAAATTCCTTACAGGTAAGTTAATTTTTAATATTCAAGGACCACTTAACAAGTCCCCACCCCTAAGTATTTTCATGTTCTCGAAAAATCCTCAACTGCCTATAAAACCCCCTAGACAACGCACCACTGCGGGACTCTCTTGTCCCATCCTAGCGTGAGCCGGGAGCTCTGTCAGTTCACTTAATCTCTAAATAAAAGCCTGTACCTTGCTCTCCTACCTTGACTGTTTGTGAAGCTCATTCTTCGGCTCCGCAAACAAGAACCCCGGCATCAAAACCACCTGGAGGGCAGTGGGGGTCCAGACATGGAGGCCACCGGTGTTGCCAGGAGCAGAGCCTTTGTGCCCAGACGCCCTGCCACTGCGGCCGGCGCCCCATGTGCGCAGGTGAAGCTGGGTTCCCGGGCCTGGCTTCCAAGGCCGCTGTGCGGCTTCGGCTGGCCCAGCCAGGCACTGTTGAGCCCCTTTAGCAACGCCATTTGCTATTTGAGTGAACAGGGCAATTAATGTGTTAGGAGGAAAATAGATACGATTGGGGTGGAGAGGGAATTAAGGCCAGTAAAGCCCACTAAAAAGGGCTTTGGAGTTAACCAGATAAAACTAGAGAGGCAGACAAGACCCCCAGTTAATAAGAATCAGTTGACGATCAAAAGCCAGAAGCAACTTGGCCTGGAATGTTTGAATGTTCCCCTTATAAAGAAAAGCATCTCAGCACAGCCTGTGTCTTTATTGTGTCAATTAGATCATGCGGTTGTAAGATTTACTTAAGCCTGCTAAAAGGCCCAGCTTATTCTTTAACTTAACCTGTATTATGTTTTTTCCTCCTCCAGCCCCTAAACAAGTAATTTACAACCTGAACAATACGGCAAGTGAGCCCAGCCATAAACAGCAGAGTAAACAGAAAGAATTCCGTCCTAAAGCTAAGATTGCATTTTAAAACCCAGGAAGTTAAGAAGTAAGATTCTTAACATACTCTTTAGCAAACAGACAATAACTCAGCCCACCTTAGGGGCTGGGCGGGTGGCCTTGTTTGACATGCTCCCAGAACAAGATGCTGGTATCTCAGGGAGAAATCAGAGCAGTAAACTTCTTGCGTTAAGTTAATTTTAAACATTTAGGGACCACTTAACAAGTCTTCACCCTTTGTCACATTCCCGAAAAATCCTTAAAAGGGGAACCCCCAACCTTTCAGGGTGCTCCTCTCTCTGAGGTCACCTGTACGTAAGTAACTTTAAATAAAACTTTTACTCTGCTTCCCGACTGTGTCTCTGCCCTTCAATTCTTTGTTGCGGTGGGGACAAGAACTGAGGAAAATACACAATACCCCTACCTAACAAATGCATCCCACCTGGGGACTTGTCCTCTGTGACAAGGTACCAGGGCTTCTGGAGAATGTCCTGATTTCCACCCCCTTGAATTTTTTTTTTTTAATGCAGGTTTGACCTACTGGATCCATCAGAATGTCTTCACTACCTCCCAAGTCTCAACCTTCACCCTGACTTGCTTCTGGATCCTCACAGAAGGTGCAGGCTGGGCCTGCTCTCCTTCCCTGGTCCCTAGGTCACCTCATTTCCTGGGCAGACCCCTCCTCCTGCTGTTTCGGGGGGTCCCTCCCTCAGCCCCCTTGAAAGCATCACATTAGCGCTTGGCCGCCTGTGCTGGCCCGGCCATCCCCCTTTGGGGTGTTTATGACCCTGCCCCAGGCCTCAGGGCCCTTGGGAGATGGGCCAGAACCTTGAGCCACTCTGCTGGATGGCATTCCTTAGACTATGGCCAAAGGCACGTCAGGGCTTCTGGGTGCCTGGACAACCCAGGCCTCCCACAGCCCCGGGGAGCACGGAAAGAGTAAAAGAATGATGCCCCACAGGGCACCTTTCCCAGGTCAGCCTCTCTTCCTCATTCTGTCCCCTGTGCAATCAAAGCCCCTTGGCTGTGAACAGACACTTCCCCATGGCAGATGGACCAGCAGACCTCTGGCCTGGGCCCACACCTCCTCGGTCACTGCAGACCACAATACAGCTTGGAAAAGGGAAGTGGGCACATAGCAGCATGGCTGTGGAATTGGGGAGCACACCCCTGCCTTTGAACCAGGCTCCAACACCTTCCCCATGGGAGACCCTCATCCATTTCTCCCACAGGCCCTTGGGGCAGAAGCCTCACTCATGGCCCCACTGAGTTCCTGCCTACCTGGCCCTGGCATCCCTTTCCCAAGTCCCAGAACCCCAGGGGCTGGTGCCCATCCTGCCTGCATGCAGGATACCACAGGTCCCGCCTCCCCTCCCCAGCTTTCCTTCCAGGGCAGCTGTGGACTTGGAGGACTTGTCTCCCCCACTGCCCCTGGGTGGGCCTCAGTATGGGGCCATACCACAGGGGCTCCCCAGGCTCTCTGCACTACAGAACTCTGCTATCCCTGCCCCCGCATCAAGACCCCGCTGGGAGGTGTCCCCAGTAACAGCTCACAGCCTGAATAGGAAGTGGTGGGCACATGTGTGTTTATTTGAGGCACCGAAGCAGCAGGAGGGCTCTTGGGGGGGACAGGGGAAGCAGCAGCTGGATTTGGGGTTGGGAGCCCATTGCCCCGTCTTGAAGCCTAGATGTGGAAGCAGCGAACCCATCCCTCAAAAGGCTGCTCTCGAGGTGAGTGAGACACCAGAGAAAAGGAGCTGGGGGTCAGTGCCTGGGGCTATCAGGAGGCCTGGACGCTGGACACTCACCTCCGCATAGGCCCTGACACAACCACACACTCAGATATGTGCATGGCAGAGGCACATGGCCACACCTGTCCACCCAGCAGAGCACAGGCAGGCACCACAGCATGGCCACCTTCTGAGACTCAATGGGGCAGAACACACCCTTCACTCTGAGAGGGGAGGACCGAGGCCTGGATCTGTAGGTGCCCCTCCCAGTGTGCTGGAGGGACTCAGTTCAGACTCTGGGGGCCTCAGGCTACAGGGGGACCTCATCCCTTCCCAGGTTCCCTGAGGAAGGTCCTGTCATTGACCCCAGAAGTGAGGGCAGTCAGCCCCTCGGGGCAGGTGTAGATGCAGAGGTGAGCCTGACCAAGGGGACCGACGGCCAAGGGGGTAGGATCAGGCAGGGTGAGGAGTCAGACGAGGAAGCTCTGGTACCCCCTGGGGTCTAGGAGGGGTCTGGGCCCAGGGTCCCGGCGGTCAGGGGCCAAGCCGCAGCAGGGCCAAGAGGAGGCTGAGCAGGAGCCCAAGGCCCAGCAAGGTGGTGCTGGCCTGCAGCCTGCCGTCGGCTGCGCTCAGGTTGCACAGGAAACTCTGGCAGCAGTGGGTGCCCACCGACGCCACACCAAGACTGATGCCCTTCGGGCCGGGGCAGATGGGGGAGCAGCCCTTGTTCAGGGTATGGCCGAAGTCCACCAAGTTCCCTGCATGGAAAACAAGGCTGTGAGCGCAGAGGCAGGGGCCTGGGGCTAGTTGGGGGGCAGAGGCTGGGCTGCTCGCCAGCGCTCACCGATGCCCGCAGAGGCAGATACGGTCACACAGTAGTTGTCGGAGTCAGAGCAGATGGTCGGCTTCAGACAGTAGAAGTTGCTGTTCTGATTCGTGCAGGAGAAGCACACCAGGGACTGGGCTGCAGAAAGGGGACATGTGCTAGGTGGCACCCATCTTGGGTCCCTTCCCAGTCGACCCAGGCACAGGACGCCTGTTTTGCAGACGTTCACTGAGCAATTCTCTTATGTGAGGCCTAGGGCTGGAGACAGGAAAGGCAACGACACCAGATCCTGGCCCCTGAGGAACTCCTGTGACACCCAAATGCATGGTGACAAGAGTGTCAGGGGCAGGGCTGGGGCCTCCAGTAGGGGTGGGAGGGAGGAGTGACCCGCTTTGCTAAAGGACAGGGGTCTGTCAGGCTCCACAGAGCAGGTCCCACAGCATGGGTGGAAGGGGGGGTGCAGTGGGGCCCACGTCCCGGGCCTAGGGCACCTCACCTTGCTCCGCACCCAGGAGGGCAGCCAGCAGCGCGGTCAGGAAGACCTTCATTCTGGAGGGACAGGTGTCCCGTCGGGGGTCTCCGAAGCCAAAGCAGCCCACCCTGCTCCAGAGACAGCGTGTTGGAAGGCCAGGCTGTGCCCACTTTGTAAATGGGGGGAGGGACCTGCCAGCTTCCAGCAGCAGGGCCAGGGAGAGGGTCTTTCTGCTCCATCCTAGCCTACTCCTTGGAGTGCACTCTTTCTTGCTGAGGCCCCTCCCCAAGCCTGTGATGCTTGCTGCTGGACTGGGGGCAAGGTGAGGGGACAGACCACACACTGACAGAAAGGGAAGCTGAGGGAGCAGCTTCTGCCTGTGGTCCTGGTGATGAAGGATGGTGACCAGTAAGGGCTTTAGCGGACCTGCGTCCAGAACTTCCCATGGATCAGCTCCATGGCTGGTGTGGGGGCCCCGGGGCTGGGCAGGGGGCATAAGGTGCATCTAACTGAGCACTGCTTCTGGCAGCTTCTGTGCTGGAGGACAGGGGGTGCTTCCCACTCTTCCTGTAAATCAATGCTGAAGGCCATAAGCCTGTTGAGTGCCGGCTGTCCCCTCAACCCTTTCAACCAGCAGAACAGGCACAGCCTCAGCCTGCTGCATGTGGGTCCCTGGGGGCTGCCCTCATCCTGTTCCAGGACCTGTCTTGGGCAGAGGCCACGGCAGTGGGTAGAGAAAGCACTCTGTGGCCAGCTGGGATTCCCGTTCTGTTTTGCAGGAGGCATGGAGTGGGAGGGGCAGTCTGTGCCTTCTGTTGGGAGATAGGACAGCTGGGGTGGGGGAAGGGCATTCCAGGCCTCGGGTAGGATCCTGGGCACTGGGAGGAAGGAGAACAGGCAGGCAGAGAACAGGTTTGGGGAGGGTCCTTCGGGGACCCCAAGAATGGGTCCCAGGCCTCTTCTGCCCAGCCCTGGCCTGGGCCAACATCCTGGGGCAGGAGCTGGTGCTTGTAGATGTCCAAGGGCCCCACATGGGGCCCATCCCCAGACCCAGCAGTTCAAGTGGGGAAGGAAACCCCCCTTTCTCCTCTGTTAAGTGTGGTCTAGGCATGGAGGCCCCCTGGGCTGTCCTCAGGGAGCTCTGGAACACAGCCAGGCACCCACCGAACGCCTGCTGGGCTGAGCGGAGGCACTAGAGCTACAGGCATTCCTGGGATCAGGCTAAGGAGGCCGTGGGGGGAGCCGGTGCCATCTGGGACCCAGACTATGCACGTCCCCAGACCGACAGGGCTGATTTCTGGGAAAGCCAGACCCAGAGGCAGGAGCCTGCCCTGGTCCCCGAGATGGGAAGGGGCAAGGTGGCCAGGGCTGGGAGCAGGTGGGGTGCTCTCCCAGGCACCTCAGGCGCTTGCGTAATTGGGGCAAACAGGAGGAGCTTGCTTTCACCTCTTCCCCGGGTCAGCCAGCTGACCCCAGGGCGATCCACCAGAGACGGCAGGTTATTGCGCCCATCCAGCAGGCCCGCTGAGAACTCAATCCCTTTTCAATTCCGAAGGCCGCCCCCCAACCCCGAGGCCCCCTGGGGAGCCTAGAGCTGGGTGACGGGCTCCCAGCGCCCACGCAGCCCTGGGCCACCCAACAGGGAGGGCGCCTGGCGGCGGTCTCCGCCCTCTCCCGCTCTGATCTTTGGAAACATTCGCGGAGGCTGGGGGATGGGGGTGGAGGCTCAGGCCTCTGAGGCCGGGCCCACGAGCGCGCCCCGACCCCCAGCCTCCCCCAGACCCCTCCCATGCCTGCCCGGCGTCCCGATCGCTCGCGCCCCAGCAAGACCGCCGTCCCCGCGCCCCACGTCCGCCGCGGCCCCGACCCCGACCCCGACCCCGGCGACTCACGCCGTTCGAACGCAGATCCACGGCCTCCAGGAGATGCCCAAGCCTGGCGCCGGAGAGCGCGACTGCGCCGGACTCCAGGCCGGCCGAAGCCGCGGCAGGACTGCGGGCACGCGGGAGGTTGGCAGGGCGGAGCCGGCGTCCCAGCGGAGCCGTGGGGGGCGCGGGGCGGGGCTGGGGGCGGAGCCGGCGAGCCGGCGGGGGCGCCCGGCCGAAAGTCCCTCCGGGCCGAGTACCGGGGGGAGTGTGTCCCTTCTGCAGAGTGGGGTGGGGGCTTTTCCGACGGAGGGACCAGCCGGGGGCGTTGGGGAGGCCGGGATGACACCATCAGAAGGCCCCCCGCTCTGCCCTGGCTTCCTTGGCGGGGCTGGGGTGGTGACTGGACACGCATCGGGAGACTGGTGGGGGGCGGCTTCCGGGGCAGTGGTTGGGGACCACAGGGTCTGCGCCGGAGAGCCTCGGTCTTTGCAGTCTCCAGACCCCGCCTCCCATGCGTCCCCTCCCCCGGTCCCCCCAGCCCAGGATGGGCTCAGGAGCCGCCTCCGTCCCTCCCGGCCCGCAGCCCCGTCTGCAGCCGGGGGGTGGGGGGGTTGCTCCTCCCACAGAGCCGGCCGGACCTGACCTGACCCTCGGAGCGCAGAGGGTTGCAGGCGCCTCAGAATGTCAGCGCGCTTCCCGTGTTCTGTCCCCAAGTGCCCGTTCAGAGCCTTTTCCTTCAACAGGCATTCCAAGAGCACCTACCCTGTGTGCCGCCCTCGCCGGGACCTGCACCTCCCACGCGGGGCGGGCCAGTGGGGGACGGGGGTCAGCGAGGGCAGGGCAGCCCACAGCGCCCCAGCCCCTGCTCCTGCCTCTCAGACTGCCCCGGGGCCAGGGCTGCCAGGCTGTTCCTCTACCACCTTTGCAGTGCCCCCCACTTCCTGCAGAATCACCTGCTTGCCAGGGAAAACTATTCCCCACTCTCAGGTTCCAATTCCTGTGCGGAGCTCCCAGCCTCCCCCAGACCCCTCTCACGCCTGCCCGGCATCGCCGACTGCACACTCACCACCAAGGCCACCGTCCTTGCGCCCCATGTCCATCCCGACCTGGACCCGGCGACTCCCGACCTTTTCCTCTCAGCCTTTCTGGGTGGTGCCTGGGAGACGGTGGCAGAGGTCCTGGGGAAGGGAGGCACAGGGAGAGGCCCAGAGGTAGGGTGGCCAGGACAGAGCTGGCTGGGAGAGGGACTGTCGTGGAGGACCTGCTTGCATGGGCAAGGTCTAAGGGGACGTCAGGCACTGTGTGAGTGTGTGATTGGGTCTGTGAGTGTGCGTGCGTGTGTGTGTCTCTTCAGAGTCCCAGAGTAGGGGCAGGCTCCTCATATGGTCTTCCGTGATGTCCAGGTCACAGGGCGTCGGATGAATCAGCTCAGGAAGGCTCTGGGGCCTGTTTCCCTGGAGGCTGAAGCCGGGGCTCTGTGTGTGGGTGGTGACATCTGTGGTGGTCCACAGCTCTGGGGCCATGGCCATGCTGTCCTGGGGACCTGCACTAGGCTGCGGCCCTCTGCTACCCCCTCCTGGGACCTGGGCCAGGCTGCCCCATCCCCTGTCCAGCATCTTGCCCTGTTTTACACTAAGCTTTGAGCTTGTCCTGGGAGGGGGGACGTGAAGGGCCTCTGGAGTGTTCTGGAGTCCCTTGCCCACCTTTCCAGAAGGGAATTGGATGAATTTTGGTCCCTGTAAGAGGCACGCATTCTGTCTTGGCTCTGCCCATCAGGTTTTGTGGGGGTTACTTGCTTGGTGTCTCCCGGAGAACGTCAGCTCTCAAGATGGGGTCATTGTCTGTGTGTCCAGCACCCAAACCATCCTGGCCCATGGCAGGTGCTCAGCGAGTGTTTGTTGGTGAAAACACAAGTGGGCTTTGCTTGTTCAAGGCAGGACCCTGTGATCGGAAAGCAAACTACACTAGGAGGAGATTCTAACGATTTTGAATGATCAGCTCACAAAAAATTCTTAAGGTCACTGCCACGGATCAGCCACAAAACTCAGATGTCCTTGGAAAATGTTGTGTCTGAGCATGGATGGCAGAGCCAGGGGTTTGTGCGATGCCCTATAGCATGATTTGTGGGGTCATTCTGAAAACCGAGGCGGGCAGCCCTGGTTGGCTCCCCTGTGGCTGGCTCTGGGCGTGCAGTCCAGTGGAGCATGTCTGAGAGGGCAGGTGGTGAGACCTGGTTTAGTCTGCTGCTCTTAAGGACCACAGCCTCACAGCCACAGCACCCCAAGGGGTGCGACGTGAGGGCCCGTTCCTCCCAAAGGAGACCCCATATCCAGGAGCTCGGCATACCCCGGAGCTGCCAGCCAGAGACATTCCCTGGGACCAAAGCGACGCCAGGGCCAGGGTGGGATGGGAGTGGGCCTTCCGTAACAGTCCCACCTACCCACGGTGGACGCCTCCTGCGCCCTCCTTCCCCTAGTTCTCTGGCCACCATGAAGTGGGCTTCTGTGCAGCATTGTGAGCCCGTCTCCCCTCTGAGGAATCTCAGATGTGTGATGGGTGGGGAGTGTCTAGCTGAGAATGGGTTCAGAGCTGAAACTTCGCAGCGCTCCCAGGTGCCCTGAGTCATACCCACACCCACCTCAGGGTGCTCGGGTATTATGGGGGCTTGGCTTCCTCCCTGGAGTGGACAGGAGCCTGCCTGCTCCTGAGTCCCTATGTTAGCCAGGATGCTCCTGGGGTGGGCCCTCAGTCCCTGCCCCCCTTTAGGAGATACAACATCCCCTCCCCCAGCCTCCCCCTTCCCCATCTCCTACCTTGGTCACTAAAGGGTGTCTGGGTCACCCTGGGCCTGGAGTGCCCCCTGGTGCTGGGTTTGGGTGCTCCAGAGCCTGCAAGGATGGCCTAGGGAGCCAGGGTGTGAATCAGGTCAGAGGCCGCAGGCCGCACCCCTCCACAGGGTACACGTGTCCACCTGTGTCCAAGCAGCTCCCCCCACTCATGCTTCAGGGACCTTCCTCCATGCAGAGCTTTCTGAGGTTTGGGCCATGGTCACTTTAATGCTGCTGGCTGCCTCCGGGTCCTGTCCTGGCTCGGCTCTGTACCTAGGTGTCACTGTGGTCCCTGGGTCCTGGTTGAAACCCTGGAGTCGAAGTCCACCCAGGAGAGACTGGTGTCCACGGCCGTCATTGTCCACATGGGACACCGACAAGATGAGGGAGCCAGTGGGACACGCACCCAGCCTGGCATGGGGACCCGAGGCTGTGGTATTCTGCCTTCTCATCCTAAAACGGAAGAGGACCCTCCACCATGCCTTCTGGTGCTCTGCTGATCAGCCGTTACCCTGACAACCTCCACCTGCCTGGGGGTGGAGTTCAGACACTGTTGCCACTTGCTGGGGGCCTCCAGTTTCTGGGTGGCCCTGCGCTTCCCCCAGAACTGCTCCCCACCGACCGTGAGACTCCAGCTGTGCCTCAGTTTAGGGGTATGGTGGGGGAAGGGTACTGGCCTGGCTCTCCTCCCACCCTGCACCCCCAGGCTGCTCTGCTACCTGGGTGCTCAGCAGGGCGGGAATCCTGGAGCCAGCCTCCCGGGCTGTGGGCCTCCTGCTGCTCTTGGGCACTAGCCAGAAGGAGGCCACACCTGGCAGTGGTCGCTCATGTGTAGGGAGAGCAGCTCCAGCAGCTGGTGGAGCTGCCTGGTGCGGCTGCTGCCACTGTGTGACCTTGAACTCCTGCCTTACCTCTCTGGGCCTGGCTCCCGCCTCTCTGAGTGGGGCCTGAGCACACTTCCAGGCTGGCTCCTGTCTGTTAGAGAATAGTCCAAAGTGCTATGCTGACTTCAGAGCATTTGCTCCAACCACTGGGGCCTTGGGCTCTTCCTCTAACTCCACACCTTCCTCTGCACAGCTGTTCCACATCCTGGAAGGAAGTTTGCTGCCAACCTCCCTGGCCTGTGCCCCCACTGCTCTGTCAAGTGCCCATACCAGGGGCTTCCCCTCCTGCCATGGAAGGACTCAGTGCCTCTCTCTGCAAACAGGACTCTGTTTGGTGTGCACTAGGCACTCAGTTAATGACTGGATGACTATATTTGATGGACTACAGCCTGAGAGAGGGTTGTGGTGACAGAAATCCACACTTAGAATTTAGAAGTCCATTTGCAAGGTACACACTGCAGGAAGCAGGGGGAGGGGCACCGGTTTGGGCGTTCTGGGAAGTGACCAGAGCAGAAGTCTTGGCAGGGACACTGGTGGAAGCCGAGGCTGGAGGCGGGTGGGGGGAGGCCAGGGCGTTCAGATGTGATGCAGGGCTGACCCCTGTTAAAAAACCAGCTTTGTCGTGCATTTAATCTACTGGATGTCTCGTGAATCTGATTCTTTCATCATGTCATGACTTTAGGGTCTGGCAAAGAAGGGGGTTTCCCTACCCCAACACCCCCAGAGCTAGGCCTCAGCCTGGGCCCCAGGGACAATTCTCTCTGGGCCATGGTGGGACTCAGGCCGTGGGTGAGCCTTTGGTCACTGACCCCACAGTTAAAATCAGGGATAGACCATTGCCCTGCACCCAGGCCCAGCCACAGTCCCTCCCCTTCTTGGCAGGGCCATGAGCCCCTGCACCCCCACCCACCTCCAGGAGGCTGACATCCAATAGAGCACACTTTTACATGTTTTTGACCATAATCTACCATAAGAAATCTATTTCACATCTGACCAATATGTGTAAATCCTTGCTGTGCAGGGGCTGCTCGATGTTCTATTCTATCCAGTTCTACCTCATTCTATTTCTCATTTAAAAAATCTGATCAAAAGCCACTATACTGTTTTACCACCCACAGTTCAGAAGGTACTGCAAAAGCCTCTGGTTCGTGACATTCGTTTTTCAGATGATGGCTTATTAGGATTCTTATGTGGTAAAAGCATTACGTTTGAGAAAGAAATTGAATACTAAATGGGCATGGATTTGAATTGAGCCAAAAAACATAGAGCCTGGCTGTCGGGAGCCCCATCTGTGAAGTAGGGGTGGCCCCATGGATCTGCACAGCCTGATGTGGGAACCCCACAGCCCCTGTACCCTGGGCTTCTCCCATGGCCCCCGCTGTGCCTGTGGTCTGAGGAGAAGGCAGAGCACGCCTGTGTGCGTTCATGTGCATGCGGTTGCCTGTGAGAAGAGGGGAACAGCACAGTCTGCACCATACTGGTCCTGGCCTGTGGCCCCTGGGTGGGTGGGCAAAAAAACTGCTGGGTGAGTGAGTGATTGCAGCTGTGCGCTGCCACACACGCAGATGCCTGGAGCTAGGCAGGTGAGAGGAGAGAGTGCGTGGTCCCCGGGGCGCAGGGCTCATCCGCCTGTGATGGAAGGGGTCCCAACTGCAGTGCGGAAGGAAAACATTCTTCCTGGTGCAAGAAAGGAGAGGCCTTCCCTCCTCCCTTTCTCAAGAGTGTTCACTTCAGAAAACATGTCATGGGAAACCTTTCTCTGGGCCTTTGAGGTGTATTTAAATCTCTTTAGAAGGTGAGGTTAGGATGAACTGTGTGTCAGATGGTGCTGCAAAGGCCTTCCCCTTGAGGACTAGCCCTTTGTCTGAAGAACCAGTCTGCAACGGGTTGCATCTGCTCAGCTCTGAGAAAGGAGGGCTCCTGTCTCTTAGAGAATGGACTTGTGTCCATCTTTGCAATCTCAAGGCAGACTGCCTGCAGGACAGACGCAGAATTGGAACAGACAGAAAGACCCACTTCACTCTGGCTGGCCAGCTTCCCTGGGCCCCCAGGCCTCCCTCAGGTAAGAGCACACCCCAGGCGGGCTGGAGGAGTGGGGTGGGGGCTCAGACCTGGGGTCTTGCTCTGTGCACTGGCTGGAGGCCCAGGCATTGCTGGTTCACAAACGTTCGGGTGAACCCAAGTGAGCACACTGTTGAGAAGAGCAGCTGTGACTGACTGGGGGGCTGAGAACGCATGAAACCTAGAACCCAAGCCACAGACACGGGTGGTGTGGATGTCAGGACCGCGGGAGCTGTCCCAGCATGAGACAAAACCGCGTGGTGCAGTTCCGGGACCAGGCTCTGGACCCCCAGAGAGGACCTGGTGGACCGGCAGGTGGGCAGGTCTGCATGCAGGTCCGCGAGTCTGGTGTCAACACTAACTTCTGGTGATGCAGTTATGTAAGAAGTAACACTGGGGGAGGCAAATATAGAAACGGTACTATTTTTGAAGCTTCTTTGTAAGTGTGAACTGGTTTCAAAATGAAAAGTTAAAAGTATTATAAAAGCTGCATGGAGTAGGCTTGGCAGGAGCCGAGTGGCCTTGGGGTTGTCCCGGGGCAGCGGAACCAGGCTCCTGGGAGGCTCGGCAGCACCTGGCCTGCAGGCTGGGAATGGAGGAAACATGCCCCAGGCCACGCTGGGGAAAAGCACCCCAGAGGTATCAAAACTCAGACTGAGAATGGAAAGCCTAGAAATTTTAACAAGAAAATCTCTTCATGGATTAACAAAGTATTTTTAAGTAATCCAGTAAATACACTTAAAAATAATGAATCGGGCAATGGGTCAAGGGTCATGCCTTTGTAAAATCTATTTAGCCTCTGCAAAAGAGACCCAGTTTATTCTTCAGCTTAACTTACGTGCTGTTCTTCCTCCTCCCGCCCTAACCTAATCAATGAAGTGACATTGTCACCAGACCTCTGGAGTGTAAAGAATGCTGAGATCTGGATCAACAGTCACCTAAATAACCCTACTCCTACGACAAAACTTAGAAGGAATTATGAGTCACTGGTATACATCCTGCCTTATGCTGACTCCTACCCAAAAGGCCCTATAAAACCCCAAACCCTGTATTTTGCTCAGTGAAATAAGCCACGTGGAGAAAGACAAGTATGATTCCACTCATTTGTGGAGCATAACAACAAAGCAAAACTGAAGGAACAAAACAGCAGCAGATTCACAGACTCCAAGAAGGGACCGGTGGTTACCAAAGGGGAGGGGTGGGGGAGGGGACTGAGGGGCATTCTGATTAGCACACATAATGTAGGGGGGTCACGGGGAAGGCAGTACAGCACAGAGAAGACAAGTAGTGACTCTACAGAATCTTATGCTGATGGACAATGGGGTGGGGGGGACTTGATAATATGGGTGTATGTTGAAACCACAATGTTGTTCATGTGAAACCTTCATAAGATTGTATAACAATGATACCTTAATTAAGAAACAAACAAAAAACTCCAAAAAACCCAACCCTAAACCTTTCAGTGCGCCTCCCCTCTGAGGCTGCCTGCACTCCCTCTGAGTGTGTATTGTCTCTTCAAATAAGCTTTTTGCTGCGTAAGCCCACTCACTAAGCTTTGTCTTAGAGAGGAAGACAACTGGTGGTTTAAGTGTCTTTGTCGCGTTGCTGTTTAATTCAGCTTTCTAGTCTTAAATGCAATCCTTTTTCCTCTCTCTGTATTATTTCCAGTAAGGAGGGAAGCAGCTTTGGGGACCTCTGAGCAGGGAGGCTTGCATGCTTCCCATGCCTGGGTGACCCAGCTGGAACCATGGCTGTTTCCATCACGTCCTTTCATTCCTGCTGGAAAAGTCTCCTTTCCTTTGCTTTGAGAAATCCTCAGAATATAATCTTACTCCATCCAGTGTTCCTCGGCTCCCTCAAATTCTGGGGTGGTTGGGGCTCAGTTTCCACACCGTGCAGATTCAAGAGGGCGCCGGAGGTCAGATGATCCTGGCTCCAGGAGCTGGCAAGGGATTTACCCTGTTCTGAGCAGGAGTTCAGCGAACCCCTCTTCCCTCCCCTCCATCAACCCCCAACCCCCACCTTACTCTCCACCACCCATATGGCTGCACAAATAGAAGAGCGGCTCTTTCCGGCACTGTCGCTCTGAATCAGGGTGAAGACCCCTATGTGCCCTTGGCCTCACCCCCCTTCCCACCCCCATCCGCTGAGGTTTCACCTGGCAGGAACGGCCTCCCCAGGTGGGGACACCTGGCAGGGCATTAACAGGGAACCAAGTTTGCCTGTTAAATCCCAAAACAACGATTGAAAAGAAAAGACAAGACATGCTGGAATAAGACACTTTCAGTGATTGGTATCCACTCATCAGAAAGACTGCGCATCCCAATTAAGTGGAGTGTGGCAAGTGCACCGCAGTGTTTCCCTGACGCTCCTGCGGCAGAGGTGAGCGGGGAGGAAAGGCCCAGCTCTGCCCCTTGCCAGCCACCTGGTAAGCACACAGTGAGTCACTGGAGAGGCCAGCCAGGGCACAGGGCGTGAGGCCAGGAGGCAGGAGACTGGCCCACCTGGCTGGGGGAGAGAGTGGCTAAGAGAGGCCAGCCCGCAGAGTGTCCCCAACACCCCCCACCCCATCCCTGCTCTGGACCCCGCCCCTGTTGCACAGGTCAGGGTAGGTGGAGTCATGGCTGACTGGCAGCTGGGGCAACACTGGGGCTGAGGGATGCAGGAAAGAGAGGTGCTGGGGAAAGGCTTCCAGATTCCAGGCCTCAGAGGCCCCCCCAAAGACCCAACCCCGTGGGGCTCACGTCCCCCTCCCCAGGCCCTGTATGTCCAGCTCTGCACTCCCTGCTTAGGGCTGAGGCTGAGTTTCCCTGGTTTTCAGCTCAGTGAAAGGCCCCCAGAGAAGCCATGTGGTCTGCTTCATGGATGAGCAGCTGTCACCTCTGAGCCGCCCGAATGATGGCCAGCACAGCACCGCGGGCTCTGTCTCTGCTGCACACTGGCATGAGGTCTGGCATGTGTCTCCTCCCCATACCTCAGTCTCCCTGTCCTGGGCTCCAAGGCCCTGCAGACCCTGCCCTGGCAATCCCTGGGGAGCTCCCAGAGCCAGGCTCATGGGGTCTGAAGGGCAAGGTGCAGCTGTAATGGGGGAAGGAAGGGGACCTCACTCCCTGGAAGGGTAGCTGGGGGGCCCAGGGAGAACATGAAGCTCTGGCCACCCCATCCCACAGGGAGGAGCTGGGTCCTGGGTGCCAGGGAAGGCTCTGACCTTTGGGGTTGACCCTGGGAGGGAAGAAAGCATGGAGGTCACCAGAGGGAAGGGGCAGGATGGAGCCCCCTCTCCAGCCACCAGCACTGTGGCCACCGAAGAACCTGTGCAGGTGCCTCCCCAGGGAAGGGTCCTGGGGAAGATTGGAGAGCCACTGCAGGCTGTGCCCGGCTGGCCCCCCAGGAAGGCCCCTGCCTCCAGCCCCTTAGCTGTCCAAGCTTTCCTGGTTGAGGGAAGACTGGGTGAAAGCGCAGAGCCTCTTCAAGCAGGGTCACAGAGAGCCCCCCGCCCCCCATGGGGCTGAATGGCCTGGGAAGGACAAGAGGGTGCTGAGAAGCCTTTACTTGCTCCTGGTGCCCTGTTAGTGGGCAGTGGAGCTGTGCTCCACTCTGCTAAGGGCTCTGTCCAGCTAGGGCTCAGCAGCCTCTGCATCCTGGGCCAGTGGTTAACTGATAGCTTGTTGGCAAGACTGGGCATTGGGCACCTGAGGCTGGGCAGCCAGGTGGTGGGCAGGAGTGGCCGAGGGTCGGTGCAGGGTGGAGCCAGCTGGCCTCCTCCCCTGGGCTTCTGGGCAGGTCCTTGGCTGACTAGCGCTCATGGATGTGAGTGTGTGCACGTGTGGGAGGGTGAGCTTGCAGTGGGTGGGGCCATGTCAGATGGAGGGGTCCTCATAGCAGGGCCCACAGGGCAGGCACCAGGTTGAGCAGGAGCCCGCTTGCCAGGGCCCAGGGGCTGCATGCCACGCGGGCCACCCGGTTGCAGAAGTCCTTCTCACAGCAGGTGATATTCTGCACCTCCAGCTTTCCGGGGAGCAGCCCTGTGTCTAGGGTGCTTGCGTCCACCAGCTGCTTCAGTAATTCAGAGACTAGGCCGCACGAAGGGCTGCAACTCTTGGACTGCAACTTGATCCTTTCTGTGGGCAAGAAAGGAGGTGCCTGATGTGGGAGGCTCCCAGCCCCCTTTCCCCAGGTGTGACCCTCCATTCCTTACTGGGAGGCCCATCTCGCCAAGCCTCTGCACCCTCCTTCAGGAGGCCTCTGCCCCAGGTGAGAGGGATGCTCTCCCCTGCAGCACCCATGCTCCTTCCACGATGCCAGGGCACCTCAGAGCAGAGCCCCCTGAACCCACCCCCGTGCTCTGGGTGCTGGGGACTCACCATTGCCCATAGTCATGATCATGTCGCTCATGAAGCAGACGCCTGGACATGTGATGAGCTGGCACTCGCCGCTGTCCTTGATGCCACTGCAGCTGTAGCACTGCAGGCTCAGAGCTGCGCCGGGGAAAGGCAGGAAGGCTGAGTTTAGACCCCCAGAGCCATAGCCCGTGCAAGAGCATGGCCTCTGGGAGGCCGCCCTGGACTTCTCTGTAGGAACTGTGCCCTTTTCCACCCTTGGGTCCTAGCAGACGAGACCTCGCCCAAGCTCACACACACACACAGCCTCTCTCCAGGCATGGCCACCCCAGTCCCTGGGACAGGACCCTGCTGGGTGCCCCCATGCTTACCATGATCGAAGCTCAGCAGGATGGCCAGTAGGATGAGATGGATGCCTCTCATGGCTTCTGGAGATGGCCTGGGGCGTGGGGGTCCCTGCGGGGTGCCCAGGTTCAGGCTGCTACCTCCCCTCCACACACCCTGGCCCTCCGTGGCTGACCCCTCTTATGGCCTCTGCCTGCCCTGTGGCAGGCCTGGGCCTGCCTCCTGCGTGGACCCACCTGCTAGCATCAGCTTCCTCCAGGCAGCCAGCCAGTGTCTGGGGCCCTGTCCCCAGGGCTCATAAATAAGCTCTGGAGGACCCTGAGGTCCCACCCATAAGCATGAGGGGCTTGGCTGAGTCTCCACCCTTTTCCTGCAGCTCTGTCAGACCCCACCCAGAACCCTGAATAGGGAAAGGGGCACCACCTAGGGGCCCCCAGGAAGAAATGCTTGGCGGAAATCCAGCTTCCTTCTGCCCACAGGAGTTGCTGTGGGGAAATCCCCCCGCAGGAGGGATGTTGGGCAAGCCCCCTCCAAGCCCACCTTCAGGAAGCTCTCCGAGGCTGCCCTGGCCCTAGTGTGCCAGCTCCTTCTCTTCCCCACCCCCACCCCAGTCCCACTGGCCTCATGACATCCTCCCTGCTTCCCCAAAAGTAAGTGCCAAAACGAAAAAAAATCACAAAAGCAGAAAATAAAATTTGAAAACGTTAAATACATTGTTTCCTGTTTTTCCAATATGGTCCTCGAAAGGAAGAAAGGACGCTAACCACCCAGTCCAGGCAGGTTTATTGCGGAACCTGAGAGGGCCCCTCTGGCCTGGCGGGCAGAACAAAGGGAAGAAAAGGGTCTCTAGCAGGTCGAGGCTTTTTATGGCTGGGGTTTTCGGCAGGCTCCGTGAGGGGAGGGGTCCGGGGAAGGTGGGCCTGAGGCTTGCTGATGTGTCTGTCCTCTGGGAACGCTTGAAGCCCAGGTAAGGTGACACCTAGGTCTCTCTGAGGTGGCCGCTGGCTTATTCCCTCAGTCCTTGTACATGAACTGGTAGATTCCAAGAAGATCGTTTTAGGGCATCTTTACTTGCACATTCTCCTTAGGCTCAATTTATAATTTTTATAACCTTAAATGTCTAGTAGATATAATATTAGCTTTGACCAGTAAATCCAAGTAGAACAAAAATGTGTGTTCATGGTATAACTACTGCTGATAACTCAAGACACAATTCTTTTTTAGACCAGCCATATTAAACTAGTCTTATTTACCAAAGATCTACCTGAATCATGTGAACTTGAACATTTGGGTTAGTTTTGTTCAAAAAAAGAAACAGTAAGCACAAATGGAGTCATTTGCCCCAAACCAAGCCTTAAGTAGTTTCAACCTCTTCCAAGAATGTGACCTTTTAACAGTAAATTGGGAATTTTCTGGCGAGAACCAACAAGGTCATCTGTCACCTGGGCCTTCTCCACTGGGCCCCCACTGAAAAAGAGATGATCTGTGTGATAAGACCTCCTGCTTGTCTGAGCACAAGTCGCCGGAAACAAGCCCTTCTTTCCCCTTGCTAATAACTTCTTGTCCCCCCTCCTTCCTATTGCACACCCTCCTCCTGTTTTATACGACTCGCCAGAGCATCTCTCTACGAGGGATGCTGCCGATCCATGAATTGCTTAAGAAAGCCAATTAGATCTTCAAATTTACTGTTGAATTTTGTTTTTTAAATCTTTATATTTATGAGGGTTTTAGGAATATTTTACCTATATAAGTACCTATTTATGTCTAAGTCAATTAGAATGGAATAATCTTTATGGGATTTTATAAATTAATTTGATAATTCCATCCCTTGGTAAGAAAATATTCTCTATATATAATATATACACAGATATGTAAACATACAGAAACATACAAATAGAGATCTTATGGTTTTCATTAGAAAATTTTAGCCATGCATCAGGCATAAACAGTAATACAAAATTCACTGGTTTTATAGAAAAAAGTTGGTTCTCATCTTTGCCCCACTTATTTTTTTTTTTAAATCGTAATTGTTTCTGGCAAATGAGACAATTGAGGTCCCCTGTTCTGAATGAGGGTTAAAGCATCCCACCAATGGCTACAGAAGGGAGTTTTAAGGCTTTCTTTGGCCCTGATGTGTCGTCTTGACAGAGGCTGTGCGTGTGTCCAAAGCTCCGCTGAGTGGATAAAACACTCAGTCTGTCTCCGTTTCAGCTTCTCAGCCTCACGCAGCTGCTTCTGAGGTCACCGAGCACCTTGCAAGCCCCCATTGGAGGAGTCAGCCAAGTTGGAGTGACTGTCAGGAGCTGATGTGAGTGGGAGAAGGGGAGGTCTGAGGGTGGCGGGATGGAGAAAGGGGGCCAAAGCGGGTGGAGGGTGGAGGACTTAGCAGAGCCAGCGTGGGAGATCCTGTTTCCCAAAGAGGCTGTTGAAGTTCCAAATTAAACTTACTGAAATTGTTAGGGGGGCGTTGTGTATTTTCCTCGGTTCTTGTCACCGCCGCAACAAAGAACTGAAGGGCAGAGACACAATAGTGAAGTAGAGGAAAAGTTTTATTTAAAGTTACTTAAAGAGAGAGAAAGTGTTGGCGACCTCAGAGAGGGGAGCGCCCTGAAGGGTTTAGGGTCTGGGGTTTTATACGCGGTGAGGATTTTCAGGAAAGTGACAAAGGGCCAGGTGCCAACCTGCCAAATTGTCCCAGAATGTTCATCTTTGTTAAGACTTTAAGTTCCTTTTTTTTAACTTAACACAAGAAATTTACTGCTTTGATTCCTTTCCAGGATTTCAGCTTCTGTCTGGAAGCATATCAATCAAGACTGTCTGCCCTGCCTCCAAGGAGCCACCATCCATTTGATTAAAATGCAATCTTAGCTTTAAGATAGAATTTTTTCTAAATAAACTGGGTCTTTGAGCAGGTGCTAAAGTAAATCTTACAATGGTATGTTCTAATTGACACAGTGAAAATATAGGCTATGCTGAGATACTTTTTTTAATCTGGGGAGTATTCAAACTTCTAGGCCAAGTTGCTCCTGGCCTTCTGAACTTTCTATTTTTAACTGGTTAACTCTTTGAGTCCCTTCTAAATGGGCTTTACTGGCCCTATTCTCTTTCCACCCTGCTCATATCTGTTTTCCTGCCTAACAAAATGATGCCATCAAGGGGGGAAGTGGACAGAGCCAGAGCCATTATGACCAACCGCACGCCTGCCCAAGTCCTCCAAGGGCAATCAGAGTGCGGATCCCTTGGGAAAGGGCAGTGTGGGCCACAGCGACAAATGAGAACCGGACAGGCTCTGCAGACGGGGCTTTGCTCAACAAAGGGCCTGCCCCAACCAGCCCATATCTGGAGGGGAGTGTGCCGTGCTCTTGGCCGGTGGGGCCTGTTAGGGACTGCGTTTATTTCTCCCACGCATGTGCTTGAAACACTGACCTTCAGTGCAACCCTCTCCGCATCCTTGGGGATACGTGTCACCATCCCCAGTGAATCTGAAACCCCACTGTGCCAAGTCCTCTATATGCTGTTTTTCCTGTGTATACCCACCTGTGATAAAGTTTCATTTACATGTTAGGCCGAGTAAATGATTCACAACAACACTACTAATAAAATGGAATGATTTTATTGACGTGCAGAGTACGTGTTGTGACTGTGGCCTCTCTCAGGATCTCGGAGCGTGTTGCACCCCTTTCTGCCAGCGAGGATGTGGGGTGGGGAGATGCCCAGGTGCTGAGAGGAGGGAGGTGCGGGGTGCAGGCGCTGAGACCGTGTGAGGCTGCTGGAGCTACGGCTGGCTCACGAGGAGGAGGGTCACTTACTTCCTGACCTCACTTGGCTGTGGGGGACCAAAACCTCAGATAAGCAGGAGGCCACTGTAACTCATAATGCGACTTTGGGGAGACAGGGCCTTCGGAGAGGCAATCGGGTTAACGGAGGATGCGTGGGCCCTGGTCCCGTCTGACTGATGTTCTCATAAGAGGAAGTGCGGACGCACAGGCCCAGGTGGGGGCGGCTACGCCTCCGGCTCTGAGCCTCTTTCGAGGTGAAGTAACGCCGGATTTCCCTCCTTGCGTTTATTCTATTACCTGAAGCAGCTACTCCTCCCCATGTATGTCCTAATTTTGCGCCTTTGGACACTTCCAGTTTGGCCGCCACTCGAGTCTGGCGGGTCCCGGCCCCTCTGCGGCTCCTCGGCTGGGGGCGCCGTGTGCAGGGCCAGGGGTCGGGCATTCTGCTGCGGACCCCAGTTTTGCCTGTAGCAGGGCAAGCCCAGCCTGCTGCGTGCACGCGCAGCAGCTCTGGCACAAAGCTCAGAAGCAGAGCTCCAGTTTCTTGCTCAGGCCCCATCCCGGCGTCTGCACGTGTCGCAGCACGGCCCCTGCGCCATGCGTGGGGCAGCGGGAGGAGCGCATGGAGGCCGCCTGGTGGGAAGAGATGAGAGGCGGCGAGCGCCGGCGTGCCTTCCCCTCTCGTCCAGCCCATCCGCGGGCCGCGCTGGCCTGCTCCTGCCCAGTGTGAGCAGGGAAGCGAGGCGCCAGCGGCAGGCCTGGGGGCCCACGGCAGGCAGCGTGCTTCAGTGGCTTGTTCCGACGCTGTCAGACCTTCACCCCGAGGAGCAGCTCTCTGCCCACTGCGGGACGTGAGGGGCTGTAGAATGTGCTTCGAGGTCTGAACAAACCTGACTTGGTGGTGCTAACCGGGTGCAGCGTCTGTCTGTTCAGTGCTTTCATGTCGCCCTGAGCATTTTCACCGACACGCAAGCAAAGCCAGCGGTCAGGGTCCCCCTGGCAGGAGCGGTTCCACCCTCCTGCAGACTTCGCACCAGCGCAGGCCTCACCGGCCAGCTGCAGCCAGGGCAGCCCTCTGGGAACCTCTCCCGCGGCCTTGGGCAGCCCCTGGCTCTTTTGCTAGTGGGCAGAACTGTTCCCGTTGCCATTTTGTGCTGTCGAGGCTGCGGGTGGGCGTCTCTGCCCCACTTCAGACCTGTGTCTGTTCTAGCCACAGCGGCGCCTGCCCCTCGTGCTCAGCCTTGGTGAGGTCACCACCCTCCTTCAGCGAAATGCCTCCTTGCTGTGCAGCTTGGTCAGGAGAGGCTCCCAGAGAAGCCACTCGATCTGCTCTGTGGATATGCAGTGGTCACATCGGAGGGCCCGGCTGATGGCCAGGGTAG